TGAAATACCTGAAACATGTCTTATAATAAAAAGTCATAGTTTTCTGTTACTCAATGATTTCTGAATTATTTTAACCAGTTTCAATAGTTTGTCAGTGGGTCATCAGGCTTTAAAACACCTAATTTTAATAAATAATTTCAGCCCTTTCCTATTAAATATATACATCTGGGGATCAGCTTATGGATGTGGTGTGGTGTTTGAAGTAGCTGGATCTCACATGGCTGACTCCATAGTTCAAGTCTTGGACCTGGCAGCTTGAAAAGTACATGGTACATGTGCACACATGCCCAAAATCTTGAGAGGAAAATAAAGGGATTGAGGCATGGCGATCACCCCCTCCACCCCCATGGGGTGGTTTCTCACTCTCTCTCTCTGTCTTTCTCTGGTGAGCACACATACCCTGCAGCAAATTTAAAACATGTTTTTTGAAGGTGCTTCAAAGATCCCAAGTAGAAAACTGTATATGGTTTTCTGTGTTCTGTTCTGTTTTGTTTTGTTTTTGTGTCAGAGGGCACATGAACATATGAGAGATAGAGAGGGAGAGAACTCTAATTAGGCCTGGTCAAGCCATAATTTTTTTTCATCCCATTCTCCATCCCATCAAAATCATAACAATAAGCAAGCATGCCTGGCATGTTTTTTCAAGCTACCAGTGCTAAGACTCAAACCCTGGTTGGCCATGTGGAATCTGGCTTCCCCTGTGCTGCACTTAATTGCTATGCTGCAAGAAAGGCCCCCACCTATGTTTTTAAAACATTATTTTGGTGGGACCAGCAGTTAGCATAATGGCTATGTCACTGAACTCCCATGTAGTCGACTGCAGTTCGAGTCCCGGACCAGGTGGCTTAAACTCACGCCAGGCACGTATGCGTGCATGCCCAAAATCCTGAGAGGAGAATGGAGGAGAAAGGATTGTGGCGTGGCCATCCCCCCAGGGAGTGATTTCTCACTTTCTATGTCTCTGTCTCTCTCTGTCTTTCTGGCAAGCACACGCACCCTATAGCAAAAACCTCTAAAAGAAAAAAAAAACATTATTTTGTACACACATATATTTTGCAACTTATTACTTAAAGGTAAAAATGTGTAGTATTGTATAATTATTTGTCTACTGTATTTTTAATATTTGCTAAATGCCTTTATTTCTTTATTTTACACTGGTTATGAATAAGTGAAGGAATCCTAAAACTACTGGGTTCATTAGTTGAACCCAAATAAAAAAGAACTATGCACACACACATACACAAATAATGTATATCTGTACATAATTCATTTATGGGATAAAGTTGACAAAGGAAGTGTTATTTACCAGGAATTTTTCCTTGTATATATTCCTTGTGTGGAAATGCATTGAGCTCTTTCAAAATGCATTTTCCAACACTTTCCTTTTATGGAATAGAGAAGTAGTGGCAGAGAGATGACAAAGTTTGCTGACACACACATTTGCTGCACTTTGGCACTGGGAGAAATTAGAAGTTTAAAAAAGGGATTTAACCCTGGCTTGGGGTTGCTCTAGTCCAGAGTTCTTTTCCATTGATTTAATTCTAGTCCTAAAAGAGACTCTCATAGCAGACTTGAGTAGGGCCCTTTTGATGCCCTTTCCAGATATCCAGGTTCAGGGCACTCATCTCCCAGTTGCTGTGACACAGCCATCTCTGGAAAATCACCCTTGGGTCTTTGAAGGCTCCTCACTTAGAGCTTTTTGGAGAAAGTCATTACCCTGGGCCTATAACAGCTCATATCCACAACTGACGAGCAGCCGTTGGGATCAGGCCAAGGCCGACATTCCAGAGCCTTCCATGAATCAAGGCAAGACTGATGTCCCAGAATTTCCTGAAGTATTGATTAGTCTGCAACTTCACTTGAAAATACATTATTTTTTATGCCTCTTCTGCCAACAAGTTTCTCCTAAAAGCATTCCCTTTTAATAAATCATTTGTATACAGCTCCCTGTATCAGGTTTTGCCATTAAGGAGGCCAGCTTCAGACAACTAATTTTCCACACTTCTGGAGTCTTCCCTATAAGAAAAAGCTTATTTGTCTGCTTCTAGATACCCATTCCCTCTGGCTACTTAAGAACAGCACCAAATAACTCCCCCTTTCTCAAACCGCTCTATCCAAGGTTATTCATGGGACATCTGAGATTTCTTGGACTTACTTTACCTCTGCATAAAATACTATTTAAAAGGGATTTGAGACCAGGAGTTGAGATGAGAACCCACTGGGGTGAATTGATCCACAGTAAGAGAATGAGTTCCACCACTGATTACTAAGCTGCAGCAAAAAACTACCCCAGATACGGGCTTTGTAATGAGTTGTCCTGGATGTTCCTGAATGAGATAGGCTTAGTTTCTGACTGCAGAAAGCCCTTGTGGCTGATGGTGAAAGAAATATACCCTAGAATAGACTACTCAACCCTCAACTTTCTGCAGCTAAGCTACTTCTGTGGAAGTGCTGCTTCAGCCTCTCAGGTACCCCAAGAAATGTATGGGCATCATCTAATTCCCATGTGTCTTCAAATTCAGAAGATCCTTAAGGGCAGGTAGTTCCAGGTCAAGAGGAAAGGAGGAACATTCTGTCTTAGCTGACTTTTTTCCTCCCTACATTACTATTTTTTTTCTCCTTCATTCTGACATCTCTGCCCCTTAATCTCTATTCTAACCCTTCTCCTTCTCCCCATCCTGTCTCTGCACCTACAAGTTCCCAAGGATATGGTATATATAATATGTACATTCGTAAAACTCAACACTGAGCATTGACAGTCATCCAGTGTGTGGGTTTCTCCCACACTGACCAACTCTCCAGCACTAGTTGCATGTCCTGCAATTCCATTCATTTCTGACACCACGTTGAGTTCAGTGCAGACCTCAAATAGGTTAAGGGCTCAGTTCTATAAGGTTGCCCCCGACTTCAGTCTCCAGTCACATGCAGAAGGTTCTCAAGTTACCCACCCTTCTATCTGATTTGGCTACAAATTAGAGGTTCCCATGATCCCCTTCTCAGGGTCAGTCACTTGGTACAGTGACTCACAAAACTCAGGAAGCTGCTTTACATTACTATTACCCCTTATTTATTTGAAAACTGTACAACTTAGTACCAGCCATGTGGAAGAGATGCGTAGGGCAAGATTTGAGGAAGGAGTATGAGCTTCCATGTTTCCTTCGGTGTGCCACCCTCTCCATGTTGAGCAACCCAGAAGCTCTCTGAATCCTGTCCTTTTGTAGTTTTAGAGGCTTCATGACAAAGGTATGGTTGACTATGTCATTACCATTAATGAGTAATAAACTCAACTTTTAACCCCTCTCCCCTTCTCAAGAGACAAGGTCTGGGGGGGTGGGTCTGAATGTTCTAACCTCTAATAACCTGATTGGTTCTTCAAGCAATCAGCCCCCATTCTGATGCCCAGAGAGTTCCCAACCATCAGTCATCTAATTGGCAAAAAAAGAATTCCCTCCAGGGATTTTAGGAGCTCTGAGCCAAGAATAGGCACCAAAACCAAATATGTATTTCTTATTATAAATCACAGTATCGCAGATGCTTCAGGTCTTATACCCATAGGGTTCTCCCCTCCATTTTTTCTCATGTGTTTTGGTAATAAAGAGATAAGTAGAGACCAGCAGATGATGTAATGGTTACGTTATAATGGTTATGTAGCTGACCACGATTTGAATCCCAGACCCAGAGGCTTAAAACTCACACCGGGCACGTGTGCATGCATGCCCAAAATCCTGAGAAGAAAATAGAGAAGGAATTGCTGTATGGCTATTCCCTTGGGGGATGATTTCTCGCTCTCTGGCGAACACACTTTCCCTATAGCAAAAATATCGCAAAAATAAAAACAACAAACTGCAGAACAGTTTTGGAGCCAGAAGGCGATGTGGAGGTTAAGGCACTGAATTCCATATAGCTGACTTTGTGGTTGGAGTCCTAGCATCTTGAAAATCACACCAGGTGTATGTGTGTGCCCTAAATCTCAAGGAGACTGGAGGAGAAGGGATTGCAGCATGGCCATCCCCCGTGAGGAATGATTTCTCATGTTTCCCCCTCTCTCTTTGTCTCTCTTTGGAAAGCATGTTCAGCTTATGGCAAAACTAACTAACTAACTAAGCAAAACTGCACAACACTTTTATAACAGTACCATTTTGGACAATGTCCTTAGGTCAGGGCCAGTTTACCCTGTTATGATGTAAATGTTTATTTGCCCCCAAAATTTTTATGTTGGAATTCTATCCTCGTAGGCAACGGTATTAAGAGGCGGGACCTTTGAGAGGTAATTAGATGATGAGGGCAGAGCCTTGGGGAAATGAGATTAGTGTCCTTATAAAAAGACAGTCCAGGGAACTTACTGCCCTTCTTATCATGTGGGGACACAGTGAGAATTCAGCAGTACCTCACCAGAACCCATTCCTG